ACAGCGTCATAATAGTTTGCTTGCCACTCATACTTGTTTTCAGGAATGCCGATAACCCACTCCGCCATTTCATTCCTGATGCTCCGGTGAGCTAAAGATGCTAGGAAGGGAAAAATGAACATACCAGGTAAAAAACAGGCTGACTTCCTGGCCCGAAGTAATGACATAGAAATTATTCTGAGGGGGCCAAACATTTTGGGGACGAGGAAGGTCTTCAGGCCTTGGGATACAATACACCAGGCATTTAGCATGGGAAGGGGTTGTCATCATTGTCATCGCTGCAGGTGTAGAACCCACAGTCGATGGGGTGGGGGTGGTAATGGTAATGCTGCTGGTCGTGCTAGGGGTCCCGACGGTCACGGTGCTGGCTGCAGTTACTGGAGGAGGTGCCACCACTGGAAGGGTCGAGGTACCCCTAATAGTATTCGAGGCTGGAAGATGGAGTGTGTTAGAAGTTGTTGTCATGGTCATGGTCGACAAAGTAGCTAACATTTCCTCAGTCAAGTATCAATTACAAAGGAATACCACACGTACCACCACCTGCTGACAGGTTGAGGTTGGCAAGAGCAGCCATCAAAGCTGAAAAATCTGGAGAGGGGAGCAATGAAGCGTTGTTAGCATGAGAACGGGAAAAGGGGAGAGGGCGTGTACCAGAGGGTGTGACACTGGATTGGGAGGGCATGGTGCGAGAGGCAGAGGCCATAGATGCCCTGGTGGTAGACCTGCAGGTTCAGGGTCTTTTCAAACATTCACGGACCAACAAGATATCCTGTTTAGGAGCTTCTAGTGATGATGGGGCATTCAACATCTTTCTATTTCGATGTGTGGTGGTAATGAGCAAGGTAACCAGATAAAAACACACCTGCTACTTGTCTACCAGACATTCCATTTCGATGTATCGCCTCAGTAAGAGAGGGATCCAGGCCAGAAAATGTGTGTGAATGGTCGACCGGGCTTTCCATATTTTCTATTTCGATGGGTGTTGTCAGTAAGCAAGGTGACCAGTCAAGTAACACTTGCCAATTGACACCTAGGCTCCAGAAACCCATCAAAGAACAAGAAAAATTACATCACCTCCATATTGAGTGAAATGCACAGCAAAATATTGTCAGTATAGACCTGTCAACGGATGCTTCAAAAAGGAAGTGTCAGTAGACAGCCTGGAAAAAAATTCCTTGCCTTACTGCTGTTGACACACTGAAAACACATTTGCTAGATAAAAAAAGTAAGTCTGAGGATCGCTGATGATTTAAAATGCGACGGCTGACCTTCTCGCTAGTATGGGCAATCCTGGCATGTTCCAAGGTACCCGGTTCGACTTTTTGATGAGTGAGCTCCCTGGATATGGAGTGGCGGTAAAAGAGGACTGCACCCGAGCCTATTGCATCAGTGTCTGCTGATGATACCACAAAAGATACCATCCCCTTCTGCCGCACAATGAAGAACCCACTGCTGAAGCCCTAGCATTGGTGAATGATGACATCACAGACCCCGAAATGCCTTTTCCCGATGCAGCAAAACTAAGCCCACAACAGTTCTTGAAGGCTATTGTCGAAGATGCGCCAGCCGCATCCGGCAATCCAGCAATCGGACTATAGTTGAAGCCACGCGAGAATCTTCACGTCTCTTCTCCTTGAGTCGTTCGTTCGTCTGCTCACTCAGCAATGAGTCAGACATGGACACTGGTAGGTAGTAGTATGTTCTGGAAGTACTTACCTTGTAGTATATATACCAGGGATCTCAACCCCCAATACACATTGCTTTAACTACTTCCTAACACAATCTCTCTCAAACGGTCAAGTCTCTCAGTTTACCACTGCGCTTACCACCTTCATTACACTCTATTTTACAACAGGTTATGGGCCCTGGTCCTAACTAAACTACAGAAGACTCACCATAATCAATTACCTCGCCAAATTACAAACCATCCCTATACATCATGTCTGACACCACACCCTCATCATTATTCCGCATCGAGCTACTCCAGGAGCATAACTGGGCTCCGTGGAAGCATCGCATTACTGCAATCCTGTGAGAATGAGCCCTGTTGAAGTACGCTGATGGGACATCAAAGAAACCAACTCCAGCAGATGCCAAAGCACCGACAGCCGAAGAATTGGAGAAGATCACAAAGTGGGAAGAAGGAGATGGACGAGCGCAGACCCAAATCAAGCTCACGTTTAGCGACTCGCAGATGATACACATCGCAGGATCAAAGACATCGGCGGAGATGTGGATGCAGCTTAAACTAGTAAAGGAAGCTAGAGGAAAATTAGGAATACTAGCGCACCACCGCCGACTTTACCACACCATTGCCGATGAGTCAACAGACATCGTAGAGCACACCACAGAAATGTGCCAGATCCAGGAAGAGCTTGGCATGTTGGGGAGTACTGTCACCGATGAAGACTTCCTGATGCTGCTCGTATCGTCACTACCAGAATCCTGGGACCAGTTTACATCGGCGTACCTAGGATCCACTGGGAACAACCCAACAGTCATGTCACATGAGTTCATCACCATCATTCTTGAAGAGAACCGTCGACGGATTGAGAAATCCGGAGGGAGTGAAGCTGCCATGTACGGGCGCAGTAACAGAAAGACTGGCAGTGGAAACAGTCGAGGGAACTCCACATCAGGGAAGGTCTCTGATGATGTTGAGTGTTGGAACTGCCACAAGCGAGGCCACACGTCAGCACAGTGTTGGTCCAAGGGTGGCGGTCAAGAAGGGAAAGGCCCAGGCAGGAAGCAGGAAAAGAAGAGGGAAAGATCTAATCAGGCAAAGGATTCAGGAAACGTGAAGGACAATGTCATCGAAGCGGCTTACCATGTGGAGTCTAAACCCCAATTTGACTCGCATTTTTCCACTTACAGTTGGCTATCTGACTCCAGAACAACCTCGCATATCTCCAATTGCCGAGAAACCTTCATAGACTTCAAACCACTTGAGGCCACATCCATTGCAGGCATCGGAAATGCATCTGTTCGAGCACTAGGCCGAGGGACAGTCCTGTTAGACTGCAAAGTAAATGGGAAAACCATTACTCACCAACTTAAAGACACACTCTATGCACCGAACACCGTAAACAATCTCATTTCCATCAGCAGGCTTGATGATGCTGGTATGGAAGCTTCGTTCAAGGATGGCAGAGTCCAGTTCCTCTGCAAGGACGGGAAGATCCTGGCAGAAGGAAAGAAGACATGCCGTTTGTATTTGATGGATGCCCGAGCACGCAAAGCTGTACATGAGCAGTCAAACATTGCCAATGTCAAAACCGAGAACACATGGGATGCTTGGCACAAACGCATGGGACATCTGGGAAAGTCAGGGTTAGAGCGATTGAAGAGAGAGGGATTGGTGGAAGGATTCACAGTTGATGATGACTCACCTCCCCTCAGTCAATGCAAAGCTTGTATTCAAGCCAAGATGGCCCTTCGTCCGTTCCCACAAGAAGCAAAGCATCAAAGCAAGAAACCAGGGGAAACCACACATGGTGATATTTGGGGACCAGCCCAAGTTGAGTCCCTGCAGAAGTCTAAATACAACATCACGCTCACGGACAATGCAACCTGGCGATGTACACCTGAATTCATGAAACTGAAGTCAGAAGCATTCCAGAAGATTAAAGAATATGTCACCTTCATCGAAACACAGCATGGGTTCATGCCAAAGATGCTACATGTCAACAACGCGAAGGAACTCACTAGTGGGGAGGTCAAACAATGGCTGAAGAAGAAAGGGATCTGACTACTCACACCAGCACCATACGCACACTCATCTAATGGCATAGCTGAATGCTTTAATCGCACACTCGTTGAGCTTGCATGTGCTATGATGATTGCCAAAGGCGTACCTTCATTCCTGTGGGAAACAGCCATAGAGTACGCAGCATATAACAGAAATCGCACACCAACAAGGGCCCTTGATGGTAAAACACCGGAGGAAGCATGGATGGGAAAGAAACCTGATGTTTCCCACCTCCGGGAGTTTGGATGTGATGTCTGGATCAAAAGGGAAGGACAGAGCCTGTCAAAACTCAGCGGAAACTCGAGCAAGGCAAGGAAATATACCTTCATGGGATTCACCGAGGACCCAATTGTCATCAAATACTATGATCCTGAATTGCGAAAGATCCACGAATCCCGGAATTACGAGTTTGCCAAGCCCAAGGCCATAGAACAGAGCACAGACAATGTGCGGCTTGAGGGGGAGGCAGTGAAGACGGACAATCCGCCATTGCCAAAGGGAGCTGAAGAAGAAAGTCAGCAAACCACACCACTACAGCTTGAAACTGAAAAGACTCCTGATCCAGCACCAGAAACACTACGACGCACCTCACGTATCACTGGTAATCATGACTACCATAAGCTCAATAACCCCAACGCTCGAAAGGCGGCACCACCACAAACTCCATCAGTCCCATCCGAGCACCCTCCAGAATCAGCCAACGTTGCCGTGATCCAAAGTTATCTCACTGGTGATGGCGAACACATTAATCGCGATGACTTCCCATGAAGCCTTGCAGAGGCACAAGCATCAGCCGAATGGCCTGAATGGAAAAAGGCTATGGATGAGGAAATGTCAATGATTGGAGAGATGGAAACTTACAAGCTTGAGGATCTACCGGAGGGACGCGAGACTGTAGGCTGCAGATGGACCTATGCAAAGAAATATGATGAGCATGGGAACGTGTCACGCTATAAAGCCTGTCTTGTAGTGCAAGGCTACTCGCAGATCCCCGGAGTCGATTTCACCAAAACATTTGCACCAGTTGTCTGTCTTGAATCTGTTCGTGCCGTGCTAGGCATAGCTGCCATCAACAACCTCGAAATTGGTCAGATGGACATCAAAGGGGCTTACCTCAATGGAGAACTCAAGGAAGAAATATACATGCGCCAGCCTCCAGGCTACGATGATGGATCTGGACATGTCTGCAGATTGTACAAGACTCTGTATGGACTAAAACAGTCAGGACGCGAGTGGAACCGTGAATTCGATAGGAAACTCACCTCCATTGGATTCTCAAAGCTCGAAGTCGACCACTGCATCTATAAACGCATCTGAGACAGCAGGACAGTGTTCCTGACTGTATGGGTCGATGACTTGTTAATCTTTGCTGAAACACCTGAGGATCTAGACAGAATAAAAAGGGAGTTAGCAGGGCTGTTCGACATCAAGGACATGGGAAAGCCAAAGAAGATCATTGGGATTGAAATAGAGAGGGACCGTGATAATGGCCCGATCTCATTATCCCAGCTGCAATACATCGATGGAATACTTACACGTTTTGGTCTCCACAATGCATCACCCGTCACAACTCCACTCGACCCAAACGTTATCCTACGCAAGCGATGTATCGACGAAGGAGCTGACCCCAATGTCCGCAGTGGCTACCAATCTGCAATCGGTTCATTGATGTACGCCGCAATTTGTACACACCCTGACATCGCATACGCTGTGCAGTTGTTGAGTCAGTTCTCAAACAACCCAGGTCCTGAACACTGGGCAGCTGTGAAGCGAGTGTTTAGGTATCTATCCAGAACAAAGAACTTAAAACTCACCTTCCGAGCAAATGAAGAACACGAAGTTCTCAGTGCTGGCTACACAGATGCAGACTACGCGTCCAATCCCGATGACCAGCGATCCACTTCTGGCTATGCATACCTCCTAGGTGGTGCAGCGTTTGCTTGGTTGTCCAAGAAGCAGTCGACTGTGGCTTTGTCATCCACAGAAGCAGAATACACCATGCTAGCACATGCAACATGCCAAGCCATCTGGAACCGCAACTTCTTAGCGGAATTAGGATTTATCCAGGAAGAACCTACCCTGATATTCGAGGATAATCAATCTGCCATCGCTATCGTGAGAGACCCACAATATCACGTGAGATCCAAACATTTCGATGTCCAAAATCATTTTGTGCACAAAAAAATCGAGTCCCAAGTGATCAAGTTGTTGTATTGCCCAACCGACGAAATGGTTGCTGATATTTTTATGAAGGTGTTGCCGAGGCCTAAGCACGAGAAGTTCGTTTGTGAACTGGGCCTATTGCCGTCTTGAGGGGGAGTGTTGAAGATGCGCCAGCTGCATCCAGCAATCCGGCAATCGGACTATAGTTGAAGCCACGCGAGAATCTTCGCATCTCTTCTCCTTGAGTCGTTCGTTCATCTGCTCACTCAGCAATGAGTCAGACATGGACACTGGTAGGTAGTAGTATGTTCTGGAAGTACTTACCTTGTAGTATATATACCAGGGATCTCAACCCCCAATACACATTGCTTTAACTACTTCCTAACACAATCTCTCTCAAACGGTCGAGTCTCTCAGTTTACCACTGCGCTTACCACCTTCATTACACTCTATTTTACAACAGCTATGGAGGATTATAAAACTTATCAGGATACCGTGAAGGCATGCAACTTTGTACATCATGCCTATTTTTAAATTGCCCTAGTGCTAAGGTTTGATTTGTCAGCAAATCAAATGTTGGCTTCGATACCACCACAAAGAAGCAAACGCCATGGCCAAGGATGCCGATGATCCATACAACCACTTTCTCACCCGCTTCACTGGCCAATCAACTGCCAAACCCCACCGGCGAACCCCGTACAACCTTTGGTGTGAAATTCATGGCAAAGATATTGAACAGGAACTTGAGACGATGGTCAATCAGGGTGAGTTAACAGAAAAGCAGAAGCCAGGGAGGTGTCAGAAGATGCGAAGCGACCGCTACTGTGACCTTTCAGAGGAGGAACGGGATGAGTGGCTGCAGAGGAGTGAGCAGGAGCATGCAACTGCTATGGAGGCATGGAGGGCTGGAGGGAATGGGAAGGTACCTGATGATCCCCTCGACATTCAGAAGTAAGTTTTCTAACTAGTTTCCGGTGCTCACTTCTTGACTATGCCCTCCAGATGCATAGACCGCCTTCCTGAATTCATACAGCCAATCATCGATATTGTGGTGGAGTGTACGAGGGGAAAGTTGGTGTTGCTATGGGGAGGGCCTGAACCTCGAGACGGTGGGCATCTCAATGTCGTCAGGTATGTTGTGTCCATATCTGCTTGTTTGTCTTTCAAATGTTTGCTGCAGCATATGTTCGGGAACAATGCTGGGTCCCCATTGACATGCGTGCTACGTGTTCATACATGTAATTTTGCAAATCCTGTGAATCCAAACGTGTGTCAACCCACTAAGTAATATTAGAGTGCATACCTGGCATGGAGTGACACCTGTTGAGGCAGGAGCAGCATATAATAAAATAATCTGAGTGGAGCACATGGCTTAGACTTAGAGTGGCACACTGGTGTCATTTAAGTGTGGAGTCTCAGTGCCCTGACTCACACCCTATGCATCCCTCAGCAGCATCTCGCTCAAATAAAATACACTGAAAAGATAATATATTTACAGAGCTTCGCGCAACATTGATCTATGACACGCGAACCCTGCCAATCTGGCAATCACCAAGAGACATCATTCAGAACCAAGGACCACCCAGTCCGAGCCTCCTGAGAGGGCTTCGGCCGACATGAGAGAAACCCTGTACCCAGAATGAAATATTGAACTAAGAAAAGGTTGTGCAGCAACCAAATATAAATACCAACTCGCTAGCGATGTGCGCGACAGAGGAATTAAAAACAAGGAGCCAATTAGGAGAAATATTCCGCATGATGTGGCAACTCTAGACCTTGCCAAGAAGAAAGAGCAGCATGTTATCGAGCACTAACTCAGATGACTGACTCAGGATATTAATTAGTGACCATGCAGTTGATGCGTCACAGAGAGGAAATGGCTCCAGGGTGGAGCATATCTATTTTCGATATTTCTATTTATATAATTAGCTGTAGATAAAAGCGCGGTAATTAGAAGTAGGTAGGAAGCTTTCGAACCCCCGCAGTTGTGACACGAAGCAGAGAGCCCAGTGTGCAACCAAAGGAATTGTGTTTGTAGCTTTGAGCAAGAGAATATTATTGAATCTAGAATTATTTTAAGATGCTTGAGAGGTCATGAGGCATGCCTTGCTCGTGCGCAATGCCTAGCTTGATTCTGGACAGTAATTGATTGCGCTCAACTCAGAGAAATATTGTATTGTGATAACTTGAATGTGCATTTGTGTTTGCAGAACGTGTTTGTGAATTCTGAGTTGTTGCAAGTGGCAGAGGTTCGAACCCTTTGGCTTGTCAATACTCTTTGAGGGTTTTGGTTTATTCCCAAGTAGCATAGGCTCAAACCCTGTGGCTTGTGGACGTGTTTCTGTGTTTCTGTGTCTCTGGATCGCATAGGTTTGAACCCTGTGGATCTACGAAATGTTTCTGAAGTGTTTTCTGCTTAGAGTGCAAGGCTTTAAGTCGTGTGTAGTTTGTTTGACAGGTTGTGGCCACCTGTGTGTTGCGCGCAATGTCAATTGAGGGTTGTACGTTCTTGTGGGACGTTTGTGGGCTTGTGAAATATTACTTTCGCCTCGAGGCCGAGCGATACATATCGCTCACCTCCTGTCCTAAAAGCATTTGGACTTAGAGAATTCTTTTGAGCTAGCGCGCTATTATATCTTGAAGAGCGCAAGACATCTTTTAAGTCTATTGTTATTGTGTGCTTGTATTGCACATATCCCCCAAACTACTGAGATTCTGTGTGTGTGTGAGTGTGAGAGTGGGTGTGTTTAGTGTGTCTACGCTATCGCATTTCGAGCTTGGCATGCACAGAGCCTCTTCACCATGGCCAGAACTTTGTCAAAGAGGAGGCGAAGTTATACGACAAGCTTGTCGCACCAACATTTTCTAAGTTCTTAAGAAAATGCTACCATAGGTTCAATATTTCATTACCCATCAACCCCTGCTGACATCGATGATACAGGCCCCGACCAGTGTCAGGCCTTAGCTTTACCTGACGATGGGGGGCTGGAGGCTCTGGGTTTGATGCTAAGCGACTATGAAAATGCCTTCGTGCATCCGGCTGAAGGTGCAAACGTTGTTGGGTGCCATGATTCCTCCGATTCCTCCACCTCCTCTTCATCAACGGTTACATCCACCAAACCCCCAAAGGCTCAGAAAAGAACCTTCATCAAAGCAACCAAAGCAGCCAAAGCAGCCGAGCGACATGGAAGACCCAGCAGCCTTCCCACCCTTTCTCAACTTCTAGCATCAAAATCGACGACAGTGTTCAAGACCAGAATTCCAACACCAGCATTACAAATGGTGGTTACTCCTACTTTGCCATTGATGGACCCTCAAAATCCAGAAGCTCAGCAAGGCAATGTTTCATCCTCCCAGCCACAGATTATCCCTTCAGATGGGTCTAATTACATGCCACCATCTGCTTCTCACCCACTGTTGCCTACTCCCTCATGTCCTGCATTGCCTGCCCCCTCACGTCCTGCATTGCCTGCTCCATCTGCTCCATCATGTGCTGCAACCCCCCCAGCTGCCTTGAAGCTGCCATTCCCGCCTCCCCCTCCTATTTCTCCACCACCTCTGCTGCCATCTCCCTTTACCGCCCCAGCCAGCTTGAAGCCGAGTACGTTACCAGCTCAATCTCCCATCCTGCAGTCTGTAAGACCAGTACCCTCCGACAATGCCTCAGCAGCAAAGGATGCAGAAGTTGGTGTCGGCAGCACTGTAGCCCTTATACACAGGTCGGACCCAATCCCACATGATGCTCCCTTCACTTCGACCCAACGCCTTCCAGGATTCCAGACCGGGCAACTGAGTCTCAGCAAGCGAACTGCTGAGGATTCTCTGGGTAGCAGTGTCATTCTTAAAAGAATGAAGATGGATGGAAGAGGTGGTGGTAATCACAAGGGGAGCCTCACGACGAAAGTGGTAGAGGCACCTGGAGGGACTGAGAAGGTTGTACCCCCCCTTATCAGCATCGTCTTCCCATCTAGTGCACCCCTTTGGGTGGTGATGGTCTTGGAATTGTTCACGTCGCATGATTTCAGGCCCGACTGGACCCAAGTTGTCTACTCATGGGTGGCATTTCAGTCTGCGAATGGTTTCGACAGCAGCGACAAATTACCCACCAACTACCGCCCCAAGTGCATAGGTCAATGGATTTCATGTGCATGACCGCAAAAGTGATGACCCAGTTATGCAAATCTCGATCTTATCCAGAAATTTCAATTGCCCTTCTGGGCGTGGTGGGCGAATCTTCAGCCTGAAGGCCATGTGGGAGCATATGAGCACCCCATCGAGGATCTTGAACGTGAAGACGACAGACGCCCCATCCAAATTCATCCATTGACAGATATTAGTTGGGAGTGCCTCAAGACATGCTCAGGGAGAAATGGTATGGTCAGCGTTGTGGCAGCACTGTTTTTCTGGGCTGAGGGGGCCAAAGTTCTTCCTCTCACAACTCATTGTGAGAGGGCTAGATCCAGTGAAGCCCACAGGGAGCTGTATTTTGCTATGGGAGACATTTGCTATGTGCTGCAGAGTTTGCTTGATTGAACCACTTTTTTTTCTTATATCTTTCAATCCCGCATATATATATCAAGTAGTAGTTTTTATATAATACAATTGATTGAGCACAGGCCATCTCTGCCACGTGCTCTGAAAAATTTCCCCACATTGACTGATCCATGAAGTCCTCTTAGAGGCAGCACCTCATTCGCTCATTCACTTGATTGTTTGTGTTCTCCACTGCGAGCGATCGCCACTACATCTCCAACATCACCTTGCACAACAGCAACGACCAACATCGGTGACAAGCAGGACACAATGATACTGTGATATGATCTCCATCGCCCATCAGCATGTACTACGATATGTGAACAATCCAGACTGACATCGGCAGGCCCAGTGATGATGATGATGATGGTGTGGGTGAGTGGGCAGGGAAAATAATGCTGATGGAATGTGATGGAGAATGCAGGATGGCTGTATCAAGGTGGGAAGGGCGAGTGGGGTGGAGAAAGGAGAAGGATGCTGGGCAGGAGGGTTCACAACAGGCTGGACACCGATGTTCGATGACGATGACGGCACTCAGAGCATGGAGGTTCAAATGACCCTGTAATGACTCCATCCCACTGCTAGTACTGCGGTGATTCCAACATGAGCTTTCCCTACACTGTATGTGCCGTCTACATTGCTATTGTGTTGCATCCTCTATTTTCCATACTGGAGAGTATGATGCATTCACTATATCCTTTCCCAGCTGCCACCATCGCCACCACACAAGCTGACCCAACACCCTGCACCCCAAGCTGCACCTCCAGCCAATTACGGTGCCTCCCACTGGCATATGAACCACCTCCTTTTACAACAGGGAAGGCAATGGTGGTACTGTTGTCATGTCCACCACTGCTGCCAAATGAGGCCAACCCCACTGCCAGCTCTTATCCCTGTTGGACTACCACACATTCCACGACAGCCACTTCATTATCCCACCCTTATTCCTGAGTGGTGGAAGTGAGGTGCATTTGGCTGCCCCAGCACCCCATCGACATGCGTATACCCATCCATCAGCCCTCCCTCCACTATTCCCAGCAAGCGTTATGTTTCATGCATCTGATGTCACCCTTCAAAATCTCTCCCTTGGTGCCAAATCCCATTCTCTTTGTTTCCATTACACAACCCTGCCCACTGCTCATCGCCCCTCCTATATACATATTAATATATTTTTGCATTTTTAATATATATATCTCATGATTTTAAATAATTTCACTCAGATAAATTAGTATTGATGGATTTGGTATGCGTCACTCAAGAGGTGGGATTAGCTAAGTAGTTGTGGTGATCTGTGAAAAAAGAGGCTATATATAGAGTAAGAATACTTATAATATTAACCCTGGTATAGTGTAGTGGTTAGCATGACTATGATTAGTATCATGTGATGCAATTTGGAATTATTTTGGAGGTCCTGAGTTTGACTCTCGGTCGGCCAGCTATTTTCTGATGATGTCATTTCATTCCAGCCACTGTGCTTACTAAAGCCTCCTGTAGTATCTGTGTGATTCCCCTATATAGGTTCAGTGTAAACTGACACTGTTGATGTATCACAATTAAGTGTCAACTAACGCTGTTTAATGTATCAGAGTATCAGCTACAGGTGACTCCCAGTAGGTGGTAGGCCACATATTGTCTCTGCCCATAATAATCTGCTTGATATTGGGCTGGATTGCGAGGGCGACAACTTCCTCCATTTCCTCGTCGTTGTGGAAGTGTTCAGCTTCCATGGCCAGTTGTTCGAATCTCTCGAAGAATTCAATGGCCATCTTGAACTGTGCTTGTTGCAGTTTCTTCCATTGCATCTGCTTGATTTGGACCTCCACTACCTCCCTGAAACATGTTCAGACATTTTCCTGGAAGGCCTCCCAGGAGGGAAGGTGATGCCTCCCACTGTGTGGGTCCTTGTAGTGTCATTGCTGATGGACCCACCAGGTCATCGCTTCCCCACCAAACCGGTGGGCTGTGAAAACTACTTGACTTGGGCCATACCCATATGCTTCATTCAGTGCGAAGTATTGGGTAAAAACCTCAAAGTAGTATTCGCAGTGGTTAAAGAAGCAGTCTAGGTCACTGGCCTTCCCATGGAATTTGTTGGGGACCTCTATCAATGTTGGTTTCACGTTTCCCCAGGGGTTAGCTTGTCTGTCGGCAATAACTCATCCATCTGGCAGATCAGGTGGTAAAGGGGGGTTAACAGGTCAGAGTAGTGATCAAAGATTTTGATCACTATGGGGTGACGGTGGTTGCGCTGGAGGTTGAGGTGGTATTGGGGGAGGTCCTCCTCCACCACCACCTCCTGGTCCTCCTGGGCCACCCCCTCCTCCAGGAGCAGCAGGTGCTGGTCCACCCATTTCTCCCATTGGTGCCGATTGTGAGGGGTCCCCGCCCATACTTCGGGCATGGAACTTTCCTCCTCCTCCTGCAGCGGTTAATCCCAGGATGCTGGACGGGGCCCAGGCCATGTCGGGGATCGGGTTTTCTGGGCCTACTATCCCTAGGTCAGGGAAGGATTCTTCACCATAGCGCCTCCCTGGTGCTACAGGTTGATCAGGATGTATCACGTTCCAATCAATGGCGGCATGATACCAAGTTTTGGTGCGGAGTATCTGATCCTCCAGGGCAGAGCCTAGCTCCGCAGCCTTGTATGCCTGTCCCTGGTCAGACGTGGTCCAATTTACATTGTACCATAATCATCTGCTCGTCCATTCTAACATTTGCTGCCATGTTAGATCATATATTTGCCAGGCCATGAGCTCCTGTGCTTGATCCTTGGATGAACTCAGGTGGGTCATCGGAGGGGCTCTCACTGGGGGAGTTGCCAGGCTCATTCTCCTGGAGCCATTGTTCGATGACCATCCCAGCTCTGGCCCAGGGATCTGACCTGTTGTCGTGATCGGGCGGGTAGCCGATGATCTGGTATCTGGAGAATATTGTATATCCTGCATACCAGTCATCGTTCCACTGCCATATGCCCCAGAAGTATCAGCAGTACTCATCCCAGATCTCCAGGGCATCTTCACATCTCCAGATCCAGGGCCATAGCCCTCAGGGAGGGAGGAAACCTCCATCATAGTGGTCGGGTAAGAACCCTCCTTCTGGTGTAAGGAAGGGTTCAAGCTTGTTGGGGGGTTTTGCTCCCTCATACTCGACTTCGGCCAGGGCTCTGTGGCAGTGACAGAGGGGGCAGTTGCAGTAGGGGTATGGATAGGGAGAGGTCTGCTCAAGCTCCCTCGGGACACGGTTCGGGAGGATGATAGGGTCTGGAAAGGGTTCGTCTCCAGCAAACCAGTTGAGGATTTGGTCTCCCTCAGGCATGTCTCCTGGGAAGATAACCCACTGTCCCCTGCTAATTGGGGATCCTGAGTGGGTGTAGTACTCTGGGAGCTCCTCATTATTACTGTCAGAGTACTCGGTAAATACGACATCATTGGGTCCATCTTCGACGGCGTCATTGGTGGAAGTCTCTGAGATATGGGCAAAATGTGGCTCGGCGAAATCTCTGAGGTCAGTGATGGCGATGATGGTCCTAGGGAGGACCTTGGATTTGGGTCAGGGAGAGGGCCAGACGAAGTCTGACTCGTGGATGGAGTTGTCGTCCCACCATGAAGGGGGTCCTTCAACTCTGTAAGTTCCATTGGGGGTGTATGACGAGAGAGAGGTTGGAGCATCGTGCCACTCCCCGTACGTCCCCTGGTCCCCAGGTAGGGAGGAATGGGTTTTCACCCTCTTCGAAGGTGGTTCTTCGCCTGGTTCATCCATGGACAATTTGATTGAATACGTCAATGTAGAACCCACTTGTTCCTCTCTGGTAGAGATGCTCTCCATTATCGTCGAACCCTGGGATGGCTGCTGATAACTCTGTGGAGGCGATTGATGGCTCCCTGGAGTCATTGTTGTCGTCCCATGTCATAGCATCCCAGGTCCCATCTGTATTGGTCCAGTACTTGGTGGTAAACCTGGGGTCGACTCGGTCATCTCCATCGTCTGGAGGGATGCCAAGTCGTCTGAGCTCTTCTTCCCGAAGGGATTCTTCACCTTCACTGTCTCGCTGATCCTTGCCCTGAAGCTCGAGCATGGGGGCTCACTCTTCTCTGTCGGGTAAGGGGTGTCGAAGTGCGTCTCACTCCCCCCTTGGCTGGGGTGTGAGTGAGTGGAGCTGGATGGTGCTTGTTGTTCGTGAGGTTCCTGTTGATGAGCCATTGAGTCCGTGTACTCTCCCTCTTCTGGGGGTCGGTGCTCTTTGGCGTCAGGTTGGTCGGAGGATATGGAGAACTATGACTGCAGTTACTAGTGTCAAGATACTGAAGGTACTTCCAAAGATAATGGCGGTGTGGTCTGAGGGGGTGAGCAGCATAAAGTTCATTGTACCACAATGAATGTTTATGATCTCGGGGTATGGTGGGTGCCGTTTTTGAATGGTGGGCTGAAGGTTTTTCTTTTGGAAGTATAACAGTGACTGCCTTGAAGCGGTACAGTTACCGTTGACAACAGTAAGGGTAGTAAGGGCAAGCTTTGGCTAATTGTTAAGCACTAACTCTAATCTAAACCAAGGCTGATCTCTATCCTGTCACTCACGTTCGGTGATTCAGTGTTAGAGAGGCATTGGTAGATTGTGAGGAGTTAGGCATCACTTTATAGCAAAAGCAAGGAGCTTGTAAGAGTTAGGAGTATATAACCTTAGCCAAAGCTGGGGTCTAAGGCCACAGCGTAGGCTAGCTTAAATACATGTTAGACTCATACTAAGAATAGTATCTACAAGGGCGTGTGCAAGGAGAAGTGCACCTTTCAACAAATGAGAAGTGAGGACACTAAAAGAAGTGTACTCCCGATGAATGAGAGTAAAGAGCGCATATCACCTGCATCTGCATGGGACTCCATCTGAATAGGCTGCATCCTGCAGACTGCCCTCGACTGGCGGTCGACTCTTGCCCAACTACTAAGAAGCATGATGCCATCAAGAGAAGTGTGATGGCACATGCAGGTCATCGGTCATCTGAGGTGTGGCAGCTGTGAACTGGGGTGATGGCAACCAGGTGAATGGGTAGGGAATGTGCCAGCAGAATATCATGGGTCTGAGAGATAAGATAGGCAGGTCCAGGGTTCCAAGAGATAAGGATAAGATAAGATAAGGAAAATAGGGGTAACATCATAATATTAGTCTGAACTCATTCTCACTCACTAATTGTGCACACTATGAGAACTTACTTGCAAACTTCATATGTGATTGGCTGAATATGAGTCACACATTGTTGTTTGATCTTGTTTGTTCAAGTCAGTCACTAACAATTTGCCAACATTATAGGTCTGTACACACTTTTATCTACATGTATTTGGGATCCATGCTGGCACATCAATAGTGTTATGATTTGTCTTTTCTTTTTCATATCTTATCCTTCAGCACTTATCTTTATCTTATCAGTATATCTAAGCGCTAGGACAGTTCACATGTTGTCAATGCTTGACCTACATGTTGTTGCTGCAACATATGGACTCCACACAATTCTCATTGTTTTCTGCATGGTTACAGTCCAGTAGTGTACTATTATTAGCATACTCAAAGTGTATTTAAGTAGAGCCTCAGCTGGCCTAAACCTCAGCTTTGGCTAAGGTTTAATCTACCCAACTCATAGCTCCTTGCTCCATGACTATCTAAGTCAGTTACTCACTCATTAAACCTGACATTGCCTACATTATAGTTGACCCACCAAAGTGCAAGTGGCAACTCCTTGTTTGACATTGTTTGGTGAGTGGGTGGCTAACATTTAGCTGAAGCTTGCTTCAAACGTTCCTCACCTACCATAGTAACCAACGTATATGCCCTTACTATCTCTCGAAAGCACCATCTCTATTGCCATCGCCTCTGGGCTATTCTGTGCAGAGGCACTGTTGTACTGCTTAGGGAGAGTATTCTCCTAGTGCTGACACAGATGCAATGTGTGCCTTCCCCTACAACCGATTCTCCATCTCCCAGTCCCATACTATATCTTTCTGTATCCGCACACCCAAGTAATCAACCAACCAATACTCCACAATGGCAGACCCATCATGCCCCAACTCTCCAGTTGATCCAAATCTATCGACATTGCAGAGTCTGTACCAGGATCAAACCACTCAAGCACAGGCTTCATGCCTTTCAATCACCAGCAAGAGCTCTCAAATGAGTGAGGAGTCGAAGAAGAAAGGGATCTGGTTGATTATTACTGGAGCAGTGGTACCATTGAAGACCTCATCCCATTGTTGTGGACCAAAGAGAACCCTGACCTCCATACTGGAAGTTTCTACCAAGAAGCCTTACAACCCTACCAGGATGCCCTCACTTGTGTTGATGAGCCTAAACTTCCATGGCAATGGCAAAAACCAAAACTCTAGAGGAGTTCATGGCAAATGGCACATTGAAGAGGCTGGCTGTGGGCACCTGTGGAATAGTGAGCGGGCTATAAGGTGAACCTCAAAAACCCACACACACACTCACACAACTACACAAACTACAATCACCCTTGTAAGTTCTAGAGGGAGCGATTATTTCTAATGTGATCCGACTATACTTCAATATCTTAAAGAGTTTCTCTTATTCTCAGCACTCTTAGTGAAGCTAAGCTTTCTCTAATGAATCCCTAAGTCTAGGAACTTTTACAGGAAGGTCATTCACTGGCCCAATGCAACATTCAAGGCAGATTTGAGTTAAAATACACAAGGGACACTGATCCCAACAGAAACAGAGGCAATACCTGCTGAAACTTTAGTGAGCTCACTGAAAGAACACCACAGGCAAGCACTGACTTAGCCCACTTGCTACACAACTGTATGTAGGGATTCTCCAAATAACTTCAACAGATGCTCTCGACTCAAGAACACTTCAGAAGTGCTCGGAAACAGATTCAGAAAACGGAAACTCGAAACAGAACTGATGCAGAACAGACTGAACAGAAACAGAACAGAACAGACAGAACAGAACAGAACAGATCTCACTTTTCCTCTTCAGAACATACTCCGAACAGACTTATCAACACTCAATGGAACAGAACAGCTTCACTGATTCTTATTCTCTTGGAACTAAGTGCACAAAAGTCTTTTCTCAAGGGTATCTCGTATTTCTCTGAGTGAGCTTGCTAACTCTATGCAAAGCTCAAAGTCACAAACTGATCTATGGAATACAAGACTGGTATGCTCATTTTAAATGAGATTGTGCCTGAGCACCCCTGGCACCTTGCCATTGCTGTATATGGATAAGGTCTTGTGATTTTTATTAATCAGACTTGTTATTTGCCATAAGCAGCTATAGACTCAAAATAAATCAATATATATAGATACTTAAATAATTTATTAAAATTCTGATCTGGGTTCATGAATAGCTGAAGTCAAGGGAGTAAATGAGATCCTATCTCAATCCTATCTTGGTCCATCATCCGGCTCCTCACTCATCAATTTAGGTATGATGCTTCTCTGACCTTAGAGCTTGAGGATGCAGTTAATGTCATATTTGCACTGAAAAGTCTATTAATTGGGAGATATTGCGATGGGACGATCACTGAAGCAGTTTGCTGACCGATATTGGTGCGAACCTGAAAAGGCCTGTATCAATGAAATCAGCACCACAGAAGACCAATTTGGTGCAATTCTTGACACCATTATCCTTGCGAAGGTGGTGGACATGGCCTGCATCTTTTCGTGTATCCCGACTCGTTCATACTATCCCAGCTTTCATGAGTTAGTCATTTCTTGAATGTGAGAGCCTTCCTAATCCTGTCTGGTAGATTCGGGAGCCGCTGGAGCAATGGACCATGAAGTTGAATGAACTTTACACATCGCTTGGTGCATATAGGAACAGATCAATGCCAAGTCCATGGGCAACTAACCAACAAGAGAATGTCTATCACAATATTTGCCTCCTGGTGAACAACCAGAAGGATGAGTCCATCAAAACCTACACCAATGCCCTTTGTATTTTGGATGGCATCGCTTTTCATATTCACTCAGTGCTTTGCCTTGTAAGGGGGTCCAACACTGTTTAAATCAACTTCTGATTGTTTCTTTAGCATGGCAAAAACTTTCATTCGTAAAGGTAAGATTCCCTTAGTATTCATGGTACTTGCTCTAACTGTAAGGTTTGAACACTCAGACCACCTCAGAACTACAATGATCTTTGAGGAGACTTTTGAACAAAATGTGCAATGTTGGAAGAAAGCTTTCATTGATGCTGTTGCGATATCACCACTCCTGCTCATTCTGTACCCAGGTTCCAGGGAACATATCTCCATCTCACTTACTTTACAGGTAGGAGTTTTTTTTTACCATCTCGCAAAGGTATCACTGATGTTTGCTTGCAGGTCGGAGGACGACTTGCATCTTACGGAAAACCAGAACTCCTCCAACGTATTGAGGAAATGCTCTGGCGTTGTATTATCGGTGTCGCGTGGGGCTGTTGGACAAGTGACACTGGATTGACAAACTTCTTGACTGAGGCTGCACCATTGATCCAAGGTGACTCTGAGGGAGTGGATACCTGGTTTTCTGATGCATTTGCTGCCCTTGTTCAGTGTAACCAAATCCTTGGCCTGGAGGTTTGTGTAGGATTGGCAAATATTGCTCGGCTTAATAATAGTCAAAACTTTGAGGGAGCTTGCAAGGTGGGACCCCAGGCAGAACAATGCAGAGGACTTTCATCATCGCCGGCACAGAAACACCAAGTAAAATAGAAACCAAGGTCTTGCAGTGCCCCTCCTCAATTACTTCTTAATGCCTGCCACCTCTCAGCTTTTACACTTGGTTCGATACCCAAGGTTCACCGCCTCTTGACATTGCAAGTGGAACAATGGGGCCACAGACACTTTCCAGCGCTCTGGCCCCATCCACCAAACACTGGCTTGAACATTAACGACCTCCCCACCATTGAGCTCGGTCAAATTGGTGAAGACGGTTCTTTGTTTGTTTGAGCAAACAAGTATCCCTTCTTGTATCACTGAAAGAGGCAATGATCTACATCTGTATCAGCTAGCTGAAAGCAACTAAAACAAGATCACAACCTAGCTCGTTCTGGAACAATGGTTGAGTCTCCCCCCATTTTAGTGGGTGAAAGATACCGTACATTCTATCATTTGCCATTGCTTAGTAACATATGTCACCCATCCCTTTTTCGAAATCCTATAAATGATGTTTTTTTAGGAGGTTCAAGATCGAGTGTTGCTGGATGGATGGCATAAGTGCTGTATTAATGCCTCAGTTTCACTTTCTGTAGCACCCGCTGTAGAGTCAGCGCTGGTATATCGCCTGGATTTTGATTTGGCCATCAACAATCCTGTTTGCACTCTTGAATGTTTTTGTGACCACAACATACTAGTGGTTGGTGCAAAGACATCTCAGATCACTTGGACGCTGTCATCACTTTCTAAGATCGGAAATCCTGATGCAAATTGAGATTTTCAAGGTTTGTGTTTTTTGTTTGCAACATGACAATATATTAACACAGTATACAGACCACCAAGGACAGGGCCGTGACATGCATCTGTCTTTACATGAACTGCATGAAGAAAGCCAGGAAAACGAAGGTCTTACTTTGAGTGTGCTGATGTGCTCGGTAACGGCGAGTGACAAAAGGCTAGGGAATGGATATGAACACCACAACACCAAAACCCGCTACTACTCTACACTAATCACCAATATTATTGAGTTCGGGTGTTTCGAGTACGATAGAAGCACTCTGCAGACTTCAACAAATCAGGGAAAGGTTGTTTAAAGACGTATATTTGGTACTAGTGAGCTACACAAGATGTAATACTCACGCTAGCGGGGTTTTAAGACACGATTGGATGAATAGTGACTTGGGTTGAGCAACTGCGCTCGGTCTAACTCTGATACTTCGAAACTAGTGGCACTCTGGGCCAAATACTGGGTCTCACAAGCGGTCTACACTTGACTAGCAGCACCCTAGGCTCGACTAGTGGCACTCTTGGCCTAAGAACAAATACTTTAACTCCGAGAAAATACTTTAACTAACTTCGAAATGCTCTGAGTCACTCCAAGACGGAATAGTAACTTTAAGACACTTCAATTCATTCAATACTATAGGTGACTAAGCGACTAGTAGACACTTCGTTGAGGTTAAGCACAAAAGCCTTTAATTGGGGCACTAGAATATGGACTAGTAGGTCACAATTGCGGGGATGGCTTGCCTGGCATGTGAGGCCACCCCTTCTACTACTTATATACTACAGAGACAGGTACAGAATAAATATAAATAGATTCTTTAGGGGTAATATTGGTAAGGATATCTTGGCTAGTCATGAATTATGGTGAATAATCACACAATAGTCGGCCTAGCCTGTTCTTTCTGTCAGATAGTGGGTCGAGGGACTCTGCTATTGGGTCATTTCCACACCCTTTTCCCAGCGGTGCTCCACTAGTGACATGGCTATACGAATAGTCGGGTAACCGTGCCTGTAGCAACTGCTCGATCGTGATCAGGGTGCAGCCCGGCTATACTAGTGCCGATCGTATGAGATCTGTATCACACTAGCCAGATCTGGGCTAAGGGTTATGCCTTTACTGGTTCATTTCTAAGTCCTTTCAGAAGTGCTTGCATGACTAGTCATCCTGACTTAGGTGTTCATGCCCAGATCGGTCCACTAGCAACTGAATAGTCGAGATCTGTGTGGGTTCTTACTTCTTGTTTGGGCACTAGCAGCTGTATTCTTTACTAGTGACCGTATTTTACTAAGTCATACTAGCTTTGGAGGTGCTAGTCTGGTCAGCTGGTAGGGCTGACCCACTAGTGGTATCATTCCTAAGTCCTGACTTGACTAGTAGCATGCTAACTTGACTATCAGTCCGAAGTCTCAACTATAGCCCTTGATATACAACTAGTATAGGATAGACCTGCAACAGTATTGTTATAAAATCGCAAAATCTAGGTGTGAATGCATAGACGGTGTATCAACGTCATGATTTTTATGAGGTTAAGGTCTAGCAAAGAAAGTTAGTAAAAACATGGAAAGTCGAAGTCAGGATCACAAACCTGGCATAGCATGCTGGCATGCAACTGTTCGAGAAAAGAATGGTCGAAATATGCCAGATGGGTGTGGGAATGCTCGAGTAGGCAAAGAGGATGCTGGTACTGGAAAACACCATCAATGGAGGGCGAGAAGGTTTCAGATAGGCAGCTCACCAGTGAAATCACAGGGATGTGATTTCACTTTCCAATAAGTACCAGCATTATTCCGATAAAGCGACATTGTACAGTCCTCTTGACTGTGATATTTGTTTAGAATATGTGGGCATATTGGTCCCAGAGATATCCTACCAAATGTGTTAGCATTGGCAAGTCAAGGAATGAGGAACACGTACTTCGACCATTCAACCCATGCTTTAGACCCCAGATTGAATGAAGAAACTTCACCCGCAAGATTGTGTGCCTGCAAAGATATGCGGAAGCTGGCCAGGACATCACAAGGAGGATCATTGCTACAGAGGAGTGATTGTGTAACCATGGTCAGTTTGGGAGGAGCCTGGGGCCATGAGCAAGTTTGGCATTGAGGAGGCATGGCTATGGAGCTTATAAGGTGTGAGGGAGAATGTATGAGATGGAAAAACTGCAACAGATTTATAGCATGAGAAACAATTGGCAAGGCTATCACAATAGATAGACTTGTCAGACGATGTGCAATGCCGACTGACAAAAGGATGGTGGGAAAGCATAATAGCAATAGCATGTCATCAGAGTGGAACATATCCACTGAGAGCATGGTCAAAGTACAACTTTGACCAGGCCATGGCAGCGGTATGAACAGAAGGTTAACTCAGCTGGGCATCATGATCAGCTGTTATTTGGTGAGAGCCTCGAATGTAAACAAAGCTGGCTCTTTCAAAGTCTGACTCATAGCTGAATGCTGTACAATGAATGCTGATGAATGCTGTCATACAGCGTTCATGCCTTCACTATCACCAGCACAAGATCCCAATCACCTCAACACTGTAGCACAGTGTCTATGTGTTTCTCTCCTTCTACCTGCTTCTGGACATGCTGAATTCTCCAGAAAATTGGGCAGGTTTTCTATGCATGGAATCACCCAATATAACAAGCCCACCTGATCTTGTGCGGTTCATCACCTCACAGGGTGCAATTTTAATAGCATTATCCTAAACACTGTCATACAGAGTTTATGCATTACTTTCTTTCCATGAAACGATGACTATCTGCTCCTTCGTCTGTTAGACTGGCTTTTTGCTGTTGCAGTGTTTATAACAGCTATGTAAGTACAAGTATTTTACTCTATCAACATAGAAGCTGATGCCCAGGTATTGTTTAGGAGCCAACATACAACCTTGGGTGCAAAGTTAGAGCAGATGCCTGGACATTCTAGGATAACACACCATGAAATGCTGATAGAGGAAGCTCATAGCTAGCAGGATGATGCATATGGTTTGAATATATTTCCAGGTGAGTCAGCTCTCCATTGTAGCTTTCTCTGCCACCGGCTGACCTGAGTTCATCCAGATGAAGATCCTACTCAGCTTTCTGATGTCTCTCGAGCATGCGGCAATGACAGTAGAAATGCCATCAATGTTTGCTGCCTACAAAATCTGAGTGATGAACTATCTTGAGACTTGCCCCTTACCGTGACAGTTTGAATGTGGTCCTCCATGCCTGTGTCCAACTGGTGCACATTCAAGTCTCTCCTCTCGAAGACGTATACAATGCCATGGTCACTGCCACTTACTATCACCCTGCAGTTCTCAGCAAATGCAACCTGTCGAGGTCACGGCATCTTGGTAGCCTCGATAGGGAAGGTTTTGACCCTTACTCCATCTGACAGCTGGTACAGCACGACGCCTTGCACAGGGTCATCTAGGCAGAAGACATCCTTCTCACAGTCCATAGCTGCGTTCCCTCTTGGGCATCTGTTAGATTAGCCCCATGAATAACGAAAAAAAATTTACATCATTCCACCTGTATCAATTGACTCCATGATATTCCCATCAGTGCCTCTGAGGAAATAGCTATTCAAAGGCATCAAAACAGTACAAAGTGTAGCAGAATCGAGCCCACATTTTCCCATTATGGCAGCCAAATACAACGACATCCCTACTGTCACCATTCACATGAAAATGGACAGCTTTGGGATCGAAGCTGTTGATGGTCACTGAGAAAACGCTGTGTAACTGCATGTTCCTGTCAACTCGATGCACCTGCACAATGCCTTGTCGAGTAGTCATAGCCAGCCGACTGGAAGCCGGGTCGAAATGGAATGCAGTGATTTCACATGAGCCTACCATCCTCAGAACATATAGCTCTTTGAAATCCTGCAGTACTCAGCATTACAAAGTGTAGCTGAGGATGGTACTCACAGTAGTATTCTTTGCCTGCTTCCAACATGCCATGTAGCTGTTCAGTGTTCTGTACATGAGCACTTCATCAGAGTCATCCTCTCTTCTTATCCAAATCATTGCAGTGGTGTTGCCCCGTGATCCTGCAGCACTTGGCCGCTTTAAAAGCCTGTCATTTCATAGATCCCAGAAGCAAGTTCCGCCAGAGCCTAATGATGTTTAACATAGATTCAGTAGCATCAGCTGCAGGACTCACCTCCACTGGCCAGAAAGTTTCCCTTTTCAGTGATGGCTAAGCAGAAGACAGTTGTTGCATATTTGCCCTTTGCACAGCCACCATGTGAATCCCAAAATGGTCATACAGTAATGTGATACCACTGTTGCGACTGCAGCCTATTTACATGTGTAATTTTGCAATCTAAAGTGTTTTACACACATACTGAGATATAGTGAGCGAGCGGACTAAAACTATGCATCGACACTAATGCTATGCGGTGCAATGATATGGAATATAACTTATGGCATAAGAAGCAATGGGATTCTAAACAGGACTTAGTCACAGCACTGTACCTGACGGGCATGTGTGATGAGAAGGCCAAACCCTATACCCAATGCCTTAGGCTCTAACTTACAAGCATGCTCACGGGAGCTAGATAAAACCTTGAAGATTGCACTGACACTGAGAATACTTAGCGCCCTTGCTAACTGTGATGCATCGTACCTGAAAATCTGGGGAAATCCTTAAGCGAGATGACAGATATCACCAGCACAAACTGGGGCAATGGGCTTTGGCCGAAGTCTGCGAGCCCACGTCCCATTGTTCTGAGTCCCATTGTTAGAAGACTCACTTGTTGCCATGTCTACAAGAAGCCTCTGTGAATCCAAGAAAGAAGTCTTGAACAACATATGCCAGGACTGATAGTTCCGTATGCTTAGACCTGTCAGTCGCTAGAGAACAAGCCCGCAGGTGTTGGGAGAGCACCTCTTGGCATGCATTTAGTGAGCTCACTATAGAAATGAGACTAAAACTGGGAAGTCCAACTCGGATGCTCAGTAAGGCGGCGGTGGCAATGTGCTATGCATGTAGGAGTCTGGGTACTGCACGACGTTTGTAATTCTAATTCCCCTGTAGTATAAGTAGGCTGGTTACAGTAGGTAGAGGCCAAGTTTTGAGCCCCCGAGTTCCCGTGCATGTGTTGAAGGCGGTACCATAACAAAGGACCAGTTTGTGACTTCGAGCTGTGCATAGAATTAGCGAGCTCACTCAGAGAAATACAAGATACCCTTTTGATAAGACTTTTGAGAACTTAGTCAGAGTGAATACGAATCAGTGACGCTGTTTCTGTTCTGTTAAGTGTGATAAGTCTGTTTGGAGAATGTGTTGAAGTGGAAATCTGAGTTCTGTTCTGTTCTGTTCTGTTCTATTCTGTTTCAGTCTGTTCCGTGTCAGTTCTGTTCGAAGTTCCATTTCTGAATCTGTTTCTGAGCGCTTCTGAAGTGTTCTTGAGTCGAGATAACCTGCTGGAGTTAGTTGGAGAACCCCTACATACAGTTGTGTAGCGAGCGGGCTAAGTCAGTGCTTACCTGTGGTGTTCTTTTAGCGAGCTCACTAAAGTTTCGGCGTGTATTGCCTCTGTTTCTGTCGGGATCAGTGTCCCTTGTGTATTATAACTCAAATTGGCCTTGAAGGTTGCGTTGCGCCAGTGAACGACCTTCCTGTAAAAAGTTCCTAGACTTAGGAATTCATTAGAGAAAGCTTAGCTTCACTAAGAGCGCTGAGAATAAGAGAAACTCTTCGAGATATTGAAGTATAGTTGGATCGCATTAGAAATAATCGCTCCCCCTAGAACTTATGAGGGTGATTGTAGTTTGTGTAGTTGTGTGAGTGTGTGGGTGGGTTTTTGAGGTTCACCTTTTAGCCCGCTCACTATTCCACAGGTGCCCACAGCCAGCCTCTTCACCGTGCGAGCCAACTCACGTGTCAGGAAAAATAGCTATATTCTTTATTCTTCTTGTTTATTGGCTTAAGTTTTATCATTATTTTAATAATTGGCTTATCTTTGTGTTGTCTCCTCCTCCGCTACCCCTCTCTTTGATATCCCACCATGGCCCTCCACATAGGCTGCTCCCCAGTTCAGCCAACTGAACCTAACTGCTTCCCATCATCCTCACCGCCATCCAGAGTCCCACCCTACGCGTTTGATCAGAATCAACTCAATGCCATCATCCCTCGGTCTTCCCCTTCACTGCATGCCCTTGCATCATTCAATCTAGATGCATTCACACACTCTGCCACCCCAACCTTCTCGATCGACACTCGCCCTGATCAGCCACTGCATGTGACCTGTGCAGCTACAAGTAGCAAGAACAAGAAAGACGAAGATGTGTCTGGTTCTCAGGAATGTGACTATGATATTGAAGCTATGGACCATCGGATCTCTGGTAAATATGGGTTTGAATGGGACGTGAAGAATGGCTATGACCTCGAATGGGTGTCATTTGCTGATTTCAATGCCTGGCTTTTGAAAGAACAAAACTCTCATGGGGTAGAGTTCACAGTCAAGGAGCACAAACCCAATAAAGCCCCCCTGGATCAACAAGTTTGGCACATGAAGCACGTCTATGTCTGTTCTCGCCAAGGAAGCGGTGGGAAAAAGAACTATGAGTGCAAGACAAATCACAGTCATAAAATCTCGCATAAATGACTGGATGGTGGCTGTCAGAGTCAGATTACTATCAAGATGTACCCGAACACCACCGTAATATGAGGACTCTATAATTCAACACACTCGCATCCTATTGGCAATGAAAATCTGGCTTACACCAACATCTCGAAGGATACTCAGGCTTTGGTGTATGAGAAGCTTCTGCAAGGAATCAGCTGCAAGGAAGTGGTGCATCAGAATATTCTCATGCTATGATACCGGAAATGACTGATGACACTGATGAACACATAAAGGTGAAACAGATTCAGGGCAGTGACTTCGACAAATCCCACACCACTTCAGCAAGAACACTTACTCATGATAAATTGATTACGTATCGCAATGTCGCTCGTGTTGATAGCTCTAAGGAGACTCAACTGATTCGATTGGATCGAAGCGATGATATTTCAGTTCTGAAGCACGTAGAAAAACTTCGGGAAGGTGGTCATTTTGTCTTTCTAAAAGGTACTCAAGATTTGGCACCACCGGGAACTGGAATAGATCTATCGGTGTTCATTTTGATTATTCAAACGAAGTATCAGAAGGAATGTTGGAGGCTTTATGGTCAGGCACGCTTAGCTTGTATAGATGCAATGCACAACACTTCATACTACAAGGGCCTTAGCTTGTTCACCATTGTAGTCTGGGATAATTGGGGGCATGGTATGTTATTTTAGGCTCGCTTTGGCACTCATGTCTCATATGGATCAAATTTAGGAATGCCAATCGCCTGGATGATGTTGTCAGATGCAACACAGGTCATGATTGAGTTTTTTCTGCATTCCATTCGTACCGAAAGTCCTTTGGTCATCCCCAAAGAATTCATGACTGATCGCGATCATGGCCAGATCAATGCCATCGAACTGGTCTATCCTGAGCCGAAGGTTTGCTGGTGCAAATGGCATGTTTTACATGCTTGGCGGCAGCATTTTGTGATGACAGCTTACCCTCTGCTCTGGGATTTACTCCAGAAATAGGTACGAACATCAAATCAGGACAAATTCGACTCAATTTGGCAGTCAATCCTGACTCTTGAACCTCATCATTGCCCACCATCCGTGATTTCATATCTCAGAGAGTACTGGCTCGATTACAAGCCCTACTGGTCTGCCATCTACCACCAGGACAGAACCATTCTGGAAGAATGTGATACGAACATGCTTGTAGAAGTGTGAGTCGTTATTCATCTGCACATCACAGCTTTCTGACCAACTACGACAGCTGGCATCATTTGTTGAAGGGCCATTTTGGTGAAGGCAAGCGCAATCGCCATCTCGATCATCTGATATATCTCTTAGTTGTGGTCTCAATGCACTATTTCATTCACTGACATTCAAGACAGGATGCTGGCCTGGAAGGACCAAACCTCGAAGTGCAAGCATGACAGCAAGTGGAAGACCATGCAAAAGCAATCAGCCAAACAGACATTACAGAGCTAGCAAATGATTCAGCCTCGGTAATATCCTATCGGCTATCTTCTCAAGGTGACCCATCGAAGCATTATTTGGTCAAAATTCATACAACCACTGCTAGATGTTCTTGTCCAGCATTTCTGCGGCTACTTTACTGCAAGCATGTCTGTGCTGTGCAGTATCATTATCCGGATTCTTGCAACCAACTCAGAGTTGCCTTACTTTCAGAAGTGCCATACCATCCGGTCTCTAATGACTCTCGCAGTTCAACGACATCAATCTCTCCCTCGACAACTACAGCAGCTGACACGGTGATGAGCCTCCAGGCTCTGTACGCTCAGAATTTGCGGATTTTACCAGATATTTAATTCCCCAGCCACCACACAAACCTACTATTTCAATCCCGGCAATATTGCTTAATGCTGCCAATTATCCTTCCCCACTTGTCAATTACACGCCCCTTTCACTAATTCCACCAGTCTTCTTTCATTAATTCTGCCAGGCACCTGATTGTCGATCTCACGGATTTAGAATCCCATCTGATTGCCTAGCACAGCCGCAATTCCGCAGCACAGCCACAATTCCGCAGCTCAAATAGCAATTCCGTGGCATTAGCTCTAATGCCGTGACCTTTCCTCAGTCTTTACTAAGGCTGTTATACCGCCAAGAGATTGCCGCAAGCATCTACTTCAGTACACTTGCTTCAATGTACTTTGCCGCAGCAACACAGCAGCTCAAAATTCTGGAGATCGGTGGCATTCTTGCTAATCACTTCATCTATATGCGGTAAATCCATATGGGTGCTGTTACTTTCGAACCACAGTACACAGTAAAACCGTACTTACTAAGGACTCGCATCAAGTATTCTAAATTTATTCCGGACTCGTAGTATAAAAGCTAGTATACATCACGGAAAATAGTAGTTGCTAGACACAAGTTACTGGACACTAGCTATCATCCATGTATGGAATACAAGACTGGTATGCTCAATTTCAAATGAGATCGGTACCTTAATACCCTGGATACCTCTATATTACTTCATATAGAGATATATTTTTTATATGTAATTAATATTACTATTTTAAGATACCTCTTTGTATATCTAAATATAGTTAACATGCATAATATGACACTGCGCTGCTAGAATACTTGCATGATCTGCAGGGATTTTTTGCATTCAGATTTCCCTGTAATCAAGTATGTCAAACAATAGTGTCAATAGTGGTATCAAGGTGTAGGATGGGTGGGTAGCAAAAACTAAGCTTATCAAGCATTCAGTCATTCAGTCTGTGCTTCAAATCTTTGAGGCATTGAAGCAAGATAAAGTAATGGAAGAAAATCATTACATCACTCAGTCACTATCTTGTACACAAACCCTGTTCTAAGACCTTACTTGTGCCTCATATATTCTTTGAAGGTCCAATAGTATTAGGAATATACCAAAATCTGGATATATGAATATAAGATGAAGAATATTGATTAAAATACAGTAAGATTGAAAAGAAAGCATGTATATTATTAGAAAACACTATACTATTTCAATCAGATATTCACATGACATACAATGAGGTCTTTTTGAACTTTTTTGTCTCTAGAATTCATTAATACATATACTATACTGTATTCATATCATGTCTCATATATAGGATTATAAAAGATCAGAACTTGTATAAATATGACAACAAAATTTATATTCCAAGCCTTCAACAGTATGGTACAGGCTCATATATATGGTATTCATATCTGCTATATATACAGATACAGTGGCTATTCTTATATGCAGTGTTTATATACTAAATATCTGGCTACACTTATTATTTTGTAAAATTTGTGACAAGAAACTCCGCTCGATGTGACATATGTCACACTATGGCCATCCAGCTCGATGAGGTGTGACGTGACAAAGTTCATCCAGCTGGATGGGCTGTGTCACATCACACCTTATTGAAATTCAATTAAAAAAATTCAACTTCATATCTCAGTTTACTATACTTGTTATAACAGTTTGAGATATGATTGTGTTTATAATCAAAGTTTTGTCTAAGTTGTTATAGCTATTTAAAGCTATTTAAACTGTTACTGCATAGAGAATTTAGCATTGTAGCCTAAAATATTAAATTTTATAATCATTTACTTGTTTAATATTAGACTAGAATGCTCAGATAATATTATTGTAGTACTTGGGAGATTTCTAGTATCTCTTGTTGAGATATCAAATATGCTGCACTTCCAATGGCCGTTACTTATTGTTCCATCCCTTTCTATAGTATAATTCTATTTTTAGTAGTATATATGGTAGTGTACCTTGCAATTGAGCTCCTTACATGTTTGTGAGGTTCTCTGCTTATCTCAGAGTCCCCACTAGTCACCAACTCAAGCTATTTGTACTTAGCATACTCTAGGGCTGCGCACTGTACTGTACACAGTATACGGCCGTAAAGCCATGGTCTCAGACGGTCACGGAAATATCCGTATACCGTACCGTATGCTTAGTTTGAAAGCTTTGTCGGTGTCAGTATGGGTGCTTTACGGCCGTCTACGGCCGTTGACAACCGTGCAAAATATATTTACTCATATAGACTTACAAGCACAGTCCCCTGTTATTTTATGTGTGAATATGACAAAATCACAAACATTAGGTACAGAGAGAACAAATGGGCCATGTTGAGTGAGGCCAGAGGTGCCCAAAAAATAAAGTAAGGTTACATGCATTGCCTGAATGCGAGTGAGAGATTGATGAGGTGGCGAATAGTCAAACTTTGAAGGAGTGGCAAAGTAAAGGAATTGGCTCATGGCTATTTTGTGTCAAAAATTTACTCAGGAAAAGGCTCTAGATAAGACTACAAAAGTATTTAAAATATACGCCATAATACGACGTTGTACGGCTGTCTGTTGGAGCTCCTGACAGCGACGGAACAACCATACACCGTACCGTACAAATGGCCATTAGGGTGCGTTCGGCTTCGGTCCATATTCCGTATAACGGTTACCGAAAACCGTACAATACGGTGACGGCGCGCAGCCCTAGCATACTCCAACATCTCTTAATAAGGTAGATTGTTAAAATAATATCACAGCTATCTTATAGTGTTTTCTAATGTTTACTAAAGCTGCAAACTTTATTTATAAGGTGTATACAGATCTATATCAATAATATATTTGTTAAAAATACATTCATCCAAATTTTAGTGATTAGCATTTATAATAATTGTTCTGTATATGTGCACAACTAATGTGTCTGAGGTCCTATTACTATGTATAGTAGATACAAATAGATACAAATACCGGTTATTGTCATAACCGGAGCATACCAGTCTTGTATTCCATATCCATGTTATCGACCACCGTTATCGCTTGTACTCGCTAGGAGATAGACAATAACAGCATAGTCACTTCGAGTTATACTCTCTGTCACGGCTTTTCTTCTAACGGTATTGGCGTACGCTCATATTGCACCAATACACGGAATTTGGTGTCCACAACTCGCTTTTATCTTTTAATCTGCCAGCATCATTTCACTTTCACCAGCCAGCATTGTTTTCATCAGTTTTCACCTTCTACGTCGCCATCATTTTACCCAGCTCAGTTCAGGATCATTACGTCCCCGTGTGGACTCAGATTAGGATCATTATTGCCGCCAGTAGCATCTGTCACGGAATTTTGGTCAACAGCTTCAGTATAGGATCATCAGTCACGGTATTTGGTATCTTGCCATCAGTTTCAGTATAGGATAGTCTCCGTGTAGACTCAGGATTAGTATCAGTTTCGTTTTGCCGTCGTTAACCTCAGTATAGTTTCAGTTTCAGTCCAGCCCAGTCCCAGCCATCGTTTTGCCATCACTAGTTCCCCCTCATATCATCGCCAGTTCATCTTATCTTCGTTTTACCGCCAGTTTCTCGTTTCTTGACTACAGTCTTCGTTTATTGCCGTCACGGTATTTGTTATCTTGCCAATGGTATTTCTCTTTGACAGCATTTTCTCTAATTCCGTCAACATCGCCCATGGCTTTTACTAGTTAATTGCCGTCACTTCATCCATGGTTTGCCGGTATTCCCAGTTATACCGGATTCCGTTCCTTCTCATCTATTGAGACCCTTCCCGGCTTACAGCCAACGTTTTCTAGTACTCAATCGTTAAGGGTACTACTTCGCTGACTGAAAAGTCGCAGTGTATACTTGCGTTCTTGAGGAATTCATTGCACGGAGGTGCACCGAAACACTCGCACAACAACAAAGCCTTTATTGCTGCTACGCGCCATTTGCCATGAACTCCTCTAGAGTTTTGGTTTTTGCCATTGCCACGGAAGTTTAGGCTCATCATTTTGATGATGGGGTGTACCCCGTTTTGAACTTGGATTATATTTTCTTCATAGTAATATTCAGTTAGCCAGATTTAGTAGTTACAGATAGTTTAGTCCGAGTTTAGAAGTAGATTACCTCAGCAATCCACCCTTTGACTCATACCACCACCTCTCCCCAAAGTACTTGCAGGATGAGGCATTGCTCTAGCACCTATAGAGCACCTCATTCACATCAGCGGACCTTGCTCTTGCTCATCAAGTGGTGACTCAGCTCCAAAATCTTGCTCAAGAATTAAGGTCAAAACCCAAGGCTCAAACTGGGGAAAGTCTTCACTTGCTCAGTCAACAGATTTCGAGTTTTTCAGCAGAAACAGCAGTTTCCATTGTACCAGGAACAAAGATCAAGATTGGCCCCTACAAGGGGTCCGACTGGAAGACCACTGCCACTGCAATGGGATCAACGAGGACAAAACCAAAAGTCATTGGCCTGGAGATAAAAACTGGTGCCAAGCAGAAATACACACATGGGTGACCCATATGCTGGTGGCGAGAAATCAGGTAAGAAATCAAAACCGGATGCATAAGAAGCACCATTGATGTATCTTCCCTTATCACCCTCTCTTTTCATCACGTACTAATCTACTGATGCAGGTCTCAACATATTTCGACAAATGATAACTTCGAGAATGGACAAACTGATTTAACGGCCCCTCCCGCTGCAAATTCCCTCTTGGATTCCAATATCGATCCTATTCTGATGGCGCAGTCATTGCCAGAGCATGCTCCTGATCCCATGGCAATAGTTATATCCGAGTCTTCGGTATCATATCAATCGAGATCCCAAGCATGAGAACATCAAGATTCCTGCCATACTTCTTTTGATCCAGCTACGTTTGACATTCAGGACCTGAAAGCTCTTCAAGGATTTGGTCGAGATCGTTTAAAATTGCTTGCATATCACTACGGACTGCTGGTCAAAGGAAAGAACACAGAACTGGCCTTAGCTATCCACAATGCTCCTGCTCTTATTCCCTCTTCCAAGCCCCTCTCTTCGAAGTGTCGTCATACTGCTGCACTACCACCACTTCAGCTACCCATGACAAATTACTCACCAAATCCGAGAAGCACCTTTGGTCCTCATTCAGTGGCAGTACCATTCTATATGCCCTCATCACAGTGCTTATTACCTCACCAATAGCTATTACCATACCACAGATTCATACAAGACAGAAGAATAGTTCTTATATCTATCTAATATATGCACATAATGGCTCTCTCTCTGATATAGTCTATCTATGACTTCAATCAATCTGTTTAAGTTCGAAAACTCACTGTTCTGCCACTGTGCCAGTTGTGCCAGTGAAATGCCGAAGTATAGTTAATTTAATAATGAGTAAATACATATATCAATGACAAATTTGTTGCCTAAGTACTTAAAATCGATGGACTTATTCAAAAAGCGACGGGAGAGGTGGGGAGAGGTGCCAATTGCAGCCAAACACAACCACATGGCTTCCATTTTAGTGGTGTCACGTCACCATCATGAAGGGTGAATTTGACGCAACTGCAGAAGACCACAGCATGTGAGGACTGAAGGGTTTGTTGGAGATGATAATTGGTTGGCATTGATCAAGGTTGGTATGGGGGAGGGATATGCAAGGCAAGGTGGTTATATGCTGTTCTCTGATTATCTCCCTTTCCAGCATTTTTTTTGTCTTTACTCGTAATGATAACCTCAACATGGTTGCTTTATGAGGCCAATGACTCTCATTGTTATACTGAATGTCAGCTGCTCACATTGTTTCCTGAGTTCAGAAGTCTCCAATTGTTTATGAGGGCTGCAATTGTCAAGTTTTCCACATGGAACTTGGGCGGCCCATACTACCAGCTTATCACTATGACAACATGCATTGTTTCATGGGGGAGGGTTGCAACTTTTTATTGAGCACTTCAAACTCGCACTTTTTTGTTTAGTCCACTGTTATCATTAGGATGGGCAATCCCTATTTTTGCCTACTATAATGGGGGTCCTCTATATAGACTATGCCTGGTCACTTCTCTCCATCAATGGAGACATCTAATTCCATCTGTTACCTTGCAGACGATGCTACACCCCCTGCTCCAATGGTCCTCTCGCTGTGCACTACAGATCTTTTTTTCACACCAAAGGCAATGCCATGGGCCATTGAACACCTCTCTCATTCCAGAAAGCTGAAGCTGCTGGCAGGCAGATTGCAGCACACTTGCTTTGCTCCATACCTGCTGCCTTCCTGCCAATCCTTGTCATTGGCAAAAGGCAAAAAAAGGGACCCCACTCCTATACCTCTGACATTGCGTGCTAGCATCCCCCCGGCACCATGGAGGGATAAAGAGAAAGGCAGAGGGACCAGTATGCCACCCTGTGATGATGAACCACCTCTGAATGATGATGTTTCAGATGAGGAGAGTACAGAAGAAGAACCCCTGTCTTCATCGCAAACCTCGATCAGTAGCAACTCCCATCCAACTATTCAGAGGGTGCTAATTGCTCAGCCTAAGGGAGTCAGGAACCTAGGCTTAGTTCAGCTTGGTGCAAAGTTGAACTGGGAAGGCAATACCTACCAACAAGTTGTCATATGTTCTCCCTTCCACTTTCATTCATTTCCTGATTCTTTTTTCTGCAGAAATATGCCGAGAAGATCTTTCCAGTATATCTCAAGACAGAGACGTCTGCGAGTGGACAAGATCAAACTGATAAGGATGCCTTCAAAGATGCTGTATGTGTATTACACTTTGCTGCATTACTATCTCTTATGCAATGTTAGATGATGCAAGAGTTTGATGACCCACTCAGCAACTATGTTAATGTCTGCCTCTCAAACAAATCATGCAGTGCCTTTGCAAAAAATTTTCAGAGAAAACACACAAGCAATCAGCTAAAAGGATCATGGAGGCAGTGCAAACAGCCATTGCAGGCCCTTCAGCACCTAGAAAGATATCATGAGTAAGGCAACCATACCCACAGGATCTCTAGATAGCTAACAGTTTTGTTTTTAATAGAAACATCGGGCTGTGAGGTTTTCCCTCTATCAGGTACCCTCATAGGATTATATATATTCCTGATGCCCATTGTCGTGGCTTCAGAATCAGACACTTACAATGAAGCAAATGAGAGCCATAGTTGCTGTGATCGAATGGTGGTATAGGAACGTGACAATCCCAGGAGCAACATCAGTAGGTGCACATTACCTGGGCCATATCATCACCCTTAGCCCTATTTTGTACCCATTTCTCTGTACCATGTCTTTCAAATGAAACAAAGATCCAAATATTGGCCTTTATCAATATTATTAAATCTATAGTTGCTGCATGTCAGTCATGCCCACCTCAGCTTCAGGCTGAGCATGAGCTCAGCTTTTGTTTAGCCTGTGCTGAGCATCCACTGTTGCGACTGCAGCCTATTTACACATGTAATTTTGCAATCTAATGTGTTTTACATGCATACTGAGACATAGTGAGCTGTTACGATTTATTCATTTTTCTTCGTCTTACTCAGCCAGATTACTCATATGCGATCATCACGGACAGTTTCTCACCATACTATTATTAGCATAGCCAACTGTATTTAAGTAGGGCCTCAGCTGGCTTATATCCCAGCTTCGGCTAAGGTTTAATCTACCTATCTCAAAGCTCTGCGTTTCGTGACTATCTAAGTTCACTGCTCGCTCTCTTCCTTCGTCTTTGACCTCCGAGTGTATCTTCCACCGAAGTGCGAGTGGAGATCCTTGGTTGATCTAAGTCGATTCGAGTTAGTGGCTAACATTTAGCCGAAGCTCGTTCTACGTTGCTCAACAAATCCAGACGTTGCCCAACATTTTCCCGTTCATAATCCTTGCCACGGTACTGGTTTGGACTGCACACTTCGTGTACCATGACCCGCTATTGTGGGTCCTGATCTTCGTACTGAGGACGTTCATTCTCCAGGCCTATATCCCGGCCCCGGTACTAGCAGCACTGCTCGTAGCAGCGTACGCGGGACACCTTCAAATCTAAAGAACGATGAATCCCTTCACCTCCTTTTTTTAAGCTTGCTTCACTGTTAGCAGTCATCCTGCTGACTTTGACGGGCACCCCTGATCTAGACGATTCCTCGTTGATGACCGGTCCCATATACGAGACCGACCTCAATCTGATAATCGCCATACTCGCCGCTCTCACTATACTTGCTCTATCCGTTGTATGGTCCACCGTAACCGTTGGACTCCTGCCAAAATAAGTCCATGAACGGATGCCCTTATCCGACGCCATTCCAGCAATCTCCGCCATTTTTATCGTCTTTTTCTTGTTCATCTCCTTTGTCCAGATACGTCGGTGCTGCCAGAGGCAAAGAAACCTCAGAGCGCAACTACCGTTCCACTACGTTCCGACCACGCCCGCCTACCCACCGGAGATAATCGACATCCCAGCGGCCTCCCAGCAAACCCTTCACGATGGCCGACCCATCCCACCAAGGGGACCTGGAGAGTCCCTCTACGGGTCGTCGCAGTCCAGCTCGGGATCCTCAGGGTCGAGCACAGACTCCTACAGAAGCGCTACCGCCGAGTCCGACGACTCGGTCGACATTACCGATACCCGGGGGGTACTCCTCGACCGAGGAGACTCGCCCGTACCAGGCCTCTTCCACCAGCCTGCAGACCACGGAGAGTCAGGAGAAGAAGGAAGGGATTTGGTCCCGGGCGAAGAAGAGGATGTCGATACCGAGTACGAAGGGGATGAGCTCACTGAGCTCGAAAGAATCCGACTCGAAGACCTCCTCGACGACATCTACATGAACAACGGGGATGAAGACGATTCCGGAGTCCGCCCCATCGACCAGGCAGGAGGGTACCACGGGGGCAGTACATGGGAAGAGGCGCGAGACAGAAGAATCGCGGCGGATGACGAGAGGGATCGGGCCCGCCTCGAGGCTGCAAGAAGTCGTCGAGACGACTTCGACGAAGATCCCGGAGAGCTTGCCCTTGGGGCCTCTGCCGCAACTACCGCCCATACAAATGGAGCAAGGCCCGTTCCAGCTGCTTGGCCCCAGGAGCAGGGAGAGCCTGTCGCCTGGTACCCCAACACCAGTTGGGTCTACGCCGACCCAAGGGAAGAGGCTCCTGTGGCCGGAAACATGACCAATAGAACCGAGGCAGAGCCCGCCCCTACGACGACCGACACGCTCCCTGCCGCCATCACCACTGACGAGCAGGAGGATCAGCACATTTGGGACGAGTACCCAGAGTATGACTCCAAAGAACTTGGAGCAATTGCCAGCGCCGGAGAACTCGCCCGAGTCACCAATTTCACCCCGTCAATTCCCCCGCGAGCCTTCGCCAGGCCCGTCGTTGTACAGCAACACCCCTGGCCTCTTCTCTACCACACGCTTGTCGAGTCCCTCCAGCTCGATGTCCCTGCCTGGCTCGCCCCAACCGTCCAGGCCCGAATGGACCGAGCACGAGAAGCAGACGCACGGACAAGGAGAGCTGAAATCGCAGCCCTCCAGGGGCCGAATGCCCTTGTCGACCTCCCTCTTGAGCCCGACGCCACTGACACAGAGGTCGGGGCCAGGATCGGAACAGCCGCGCTCCGATACTCAGGAGCCGTTGCAAGAGCAGGGACCGACCTCGAAGCCTGTCGACGAGCCTGGAATTACTACTAAGCCGAAATCAGCGACGAGGACTCCGACATCGCACGTTGGAGAAGGAACAAGGAGATCGATCGAGTCGCCCAAGAGCGCAAGGAGCGCGAGGATGCCGAGTCGGCCACCAAACAGCGCAGTAAATGCGGAGGTGATGAAGGCGGTCCGAGCAGTTCTCACTAACCCGCCGGGTCATACTCCCCCCAGTCTATTTGGGATTCTCACCTGGGAATCCCTGTACGAAGTCATGATGAGTGATATGGAGCAGGGCCCTCAGTGGCTGCTCACGGAAGCAGGAGAGGATTACAGAAGCGCCAAGGACGTGGGAGACGTGTACTTGGCAAAGAACATACTGGAGGTAGAGACATGGCACTGTGCGGCCATCGTCTGGAACAGGGTTCATCCGGAGCCCGAATACAGGAAGGAGGGGTGTGCCGCCTACCGAAGGCCACAACCCATGCCGAATCCTACCTACGATTTCCCATCAGGCTTCTTCGGGGGAGCAGGGGAAGACAAAGACTGGGAGGACAAAGGGGCCGGCCCCTCTAAAGCGGACAAGGGAAACGGACCGACGGACCCACCACAACCGCCATTGGGACCCCCTCCGAGCGTACCGCCTGGCTACCCGGGTGGTTACCCGCCGCCCGGGGACAACCCTAGGCTGCGATCGTTACCAAGGCCACCAAACCCTCCGGTGCCTCCTGGTAATCCGCCCCCTCCGGGCCCGATCGAACCATGGGAACTGGCACCCGGGGCCATTAATCCCTGGAACGACGTCAAACCCAAGTTAATCACGCAGCCAGATGTTACGGTTTATTCATTTCTTTTCCTTTTCTTACGCATTTACGCTTACTCTATGCTGCGGTTCTGATCGGACATTCCCACAGTACTATTTTTAGTTTTATCAACGTGTATTTAAGTAGAGCCTCAGCTGGTCTAAACCCCAGCTTCGGCTAAGGTTTAATCTACCTAACTCAAAGCTCCCCGCTCCGCGACTATCTAAGCTCACTCCTGACTCTCTTCCATTGCCTTTGACCTCTAAGAGTATCGTCCACTGAAGTGCGAGTGGCGATCCTTAGTTGATCTAAGCCGATAAGAGTTAGTGGCTAACATTTAGCCGAAGCTCGCCTACGTTGCCTAGTGCCACGTCCGAGAACGAACACTGCTCAACGTTTCTACACCATTGTACTCCCTAGTTAGACCGAAACGGTCGCTAGTGGCATTTGACGTCTCGTCGTGCCATCTACCTTTCAGATCCTAGGAACCCGACAACACCCTCCTGCTTGACCAGAAGAGGTCATCGCCGCACGTTCGAGAGGACAACCTCGTGGTTGTTAGCGTGTTACGAGTGGACCAACGGAAGAGCACTTATCCCAAAATTCATCTGATACACTTCCTCGTCGTAGTAGTTCTCTGGGTTGTTCCCTTTGACCTACTACTTCAAGCTGCCGTCATCGCCTGGATTTTACCACCTATCATTGACGACCCCATCTTTGCAGTTCTAGTAACTGTTCTTATCACCTTGGCTCTCATCCGAGTCTGTATCGCCGCACCGATTCTAGCAGGACTGCTAGTCGCTCTCTACGGCGCATACGTTCCACTCGTCTGAGACACCACGAATCTATTCCGATTATCCTTACAGTTAGCTTCACTGTTAGCAGTCATACTGTTGGCATTGACTGACCCATCCTTTGACAACGATACCTCGCTGATGACCAGCCCCGCCTACGAGACTGACCTCAACCTAGTTATCGCGACCCTTGCTGCCCTCGCCATCCTCGCACTATCCGTTGTATGGGCTATCCTTACCGCCGGCTCACTCAACAAATAAGCCCACGGACGGATGCCCTTATCCGACGCCATTCCTGTAATCTCCACGCTTTCTACCGTCTTTTTATTGTTCATCTGCTTGTATTACCTCCAGCGGTGCTGCCGTCAACAAAGACGAGTACGGGCACAGCTACCATTTCACTACATTCCGGCAACACCTGCGTATCCACCCCCGATAATCTTCATACCCGCGGCCTCGCAACAAACCCTTCACGATGGCTGACCAATCACACCCCGAGGACCTGGAGAGTCCCTCTACACATCATCGCGATCCAGCTCGGGATCCTCAGAGTCGAGCACAGACTCCTACAGAAGCGCCACAGAGTCAGACCACTCCATCGATATCACCAATACCCGGGGGGTACTCCTCGACCGAGGAGACTCGCCCCTACCAGGCCTCTTCGACGTCTCTCCAGTCGAGGGCGAGTCAAGCGCCGACGGAGCCCGAAGACAAGACACCAGGCATCTGGTCACGGGCGAAGAAAGCCCTGACACCGAGTACGAAGGCGACGAGCTCACTGAGCTCGAAAGAATCCGACTCGAAGACCTCCTTGGCGACCTCTATCCGA